CTGTCTTCCACCTCCTGTTAGGTCTTCAGGGACAATGGAGCTGTCATCTCCTATGGTAACAATGCCTTCTTTTGGAATACATCCTGAAGGATCTGCCTAAGCTTGTTAACTTCTTTTTGTAAGTAGGAGTATAACCTAAAGAACAATAAAAAGTATAGTAAATGCATATGCCAGTAACATAGTTATTATCAAGTATTATGTCTTATACATAATTGTGTGTGCTATACTTTTATACCACTGGCAGCACAGGTTTGCTTACACCAGCATCACCACACACATAATGCATTGCACTACGATGTCACTAGGCAATAGAAATTTTTCAGCTCCATTATAATCTTACGGGTATATCATTGTATATGCAGTCTATTGTTCACCAAAACATTGTTATGCAGTACATGACTATATGTTGCTGGATTTGATTTGATTTGCTAGTTATTTACTTGAGCTTCTTAGATATATAGATCATTTTTCATTCAGTTTGGAGTACTATCAGCCATCAATTGTTAAATGCTTTTTTTCTCTCCTTTTCTGGTATTCTAATTATGAGTGTGTTTATGTGTTTATGTCCCACATTTCTCTAAGGGTCCATTCATTTTTCTTTACTCTTTTCCAAGTCCATAATTTCCATTTCTGTATATGGAAATTTATATATATATGTGTATATATATATATATATATTCATTCTATCCTTTATTGGTATAGTCATTGTCATCATATCTTCCTCTAATTATTTAAACATGGTTTAATTGCTTTGAACATATTTATAATAGCTACTTGAAGTCCTTGTTCACTAAGTATCTGGTCCTCCTAAAGGGAATTTCTAGTCTTTTTTATTCCTATGTATAGGTCACATGTACCTATTTCTTTGCATGTCTCATAACATCTTATTGAATTGAACACTTTAGATACCATATTCTAGCAGCTCTGGACAATGATTCTCTTTGCTCCTCGGTTTGTCACTGTTGTTTGTTCACTTAGTTGTTTGGTGACATGGCTGGACTAATACTATAAAGTCTGTTTCCCCACAGTGGGTAGCCTCTAATGATCCCGTTTAGATTTTTTTTCTTGTTTTTATATTTAAATCTGGCTTCCTAAGGGTCTTAGGAAGTTTAGGAATTTAACCTAGTAGACAAAGCTGATTATATATACAAAAATGATTTGTTTCTAATTTTTATTCTATTTTTTTTTTTTTTTTTTTTTTGAGACAGAGTCTTACTGTGTTGCCTGGGCTAGAGTGCCGTGGTGTCAGCCTGGCTCACAGCAACCTCAAACTCCTGGGCTCAAGCAATCCTCCTGCCTCAGCCTCTCAAGTAGCTGGGACTACAGGCACATGCCACCATGCCCGGCTAATTTTTTCTATTTTTAGTTGTTTGGCTAATTTCTTTCTATTTTTAACAGAGATAGGGTCTCATTCTTGCTCAGGCTGGTCTTAAACTCCTGAGCTCAAACAATCCTCCTGCCTTGGCCTCCCAGAGTGCTAGGATTACAGGCATGAGCTACCGTGCCTGGCTGAAATAGAATTTTTTACATGATTAAAGTATAGGCTCTATATTAAAAGAACCAATAATTTAAACAAAGGAAAATAATACCAATTTTAGAGAATAAATTTTTCTTTCTTGTAAATAATTCTATGTTTTTTTAAAAAAAGTTATATTCTGCATCTGTGGTATGAGATGCCAAAAAAAAAAGTTATGTGGGGTACCATAGACTTATCTACTTTTCTTTCCAGATCAGCCCCAAGATCTAGAGGAAGGAAAAGTTATGACAAAAAAGATATAAAATGTTAGAAATCTAATAACTTTAGTATTGAACATTATGTCAAAATTTAAAATGCCAAAAATTTTACACAAACACCTGGTAAAGAAAGTATTCCTTTTGTACAATTGCAATGATAAACCAAATTTTCCTTTAATTTTCTAGACATTTTTTGCACTGGAGCAAAATAGCTATTCTTACTTAAATATGTTTTTGCCATAAAGAGGTTTCAAAAAAGATTTCATGGAGACTGGGGGAGGGGGGGAGCAGAAGACAGGAAGTTGTTTGGTGGGTACTATGTGTGTTGCTTCAGTGATGTATGCACTGAAGGCTGTGACTTTACTGCAATGTAATATATCAATGAAGCAAAATTGTACTTGAACCCCATGAATATATACAAATTTTTAAAAATGAGGACAAAGAAAAAAATTGCCAAGGAAGATACAGTAGAAGGACTCTAAAAGGAAATAAAGTTGACTATTTCTACAATGGTCACTGGAAAAAAAAAAAAGATTTTTCAAATAATTAGACTTGGCTTATTTGCATAATCATATACCCTAATCTTAAGTGGGTTAAAAAATTAATCAAGAGAAGAGAAATATGGGCAAAAAGCACACCCATGGAATCATTATTGAACAAAAAGACAAACCTAAGGGAAAATATTGTTTCTCCTCGAACATAAAGTATAGAAATGTTTCTTCAATGATCTGAAGATTGTCAGTATGAAAGGTTGCATGAAAAATAATCAAATCCCTTCTCACAAGTGAAAGTTCTACATGATTATATCATCCTCTGAAAAACAGTATGGGAAGTTTTTTAGAGAACAAACTCAAAAACAAAAAAGAAATCTTTAAATGATAAAGGTTACCCATTGGGGAAGGAATCACATTTACTTCAAAGCAGCTAAAGTTTCTTTTTTCCAGGTATATAGTCAATATTCCACACAGTTAAATACTCCTCCCCATTCCGCCTTTTTGAAACACTTTCTTTACTTGACTTCCAGCATACCAGTCTCCTGATTTTTCTTCTAGTTCACTGGTGGATCCATCTCAGTCTTTTGCCAGTTCCTTCTCTTCTCTACTTCTTAACGTTGGCATACCCCAGGGCTCCATCTTTTGCCATCTTCTCTTTTCCAGATGTACTAGGTGATATTATCCAATGTTATAGTTATTCCCTGATGATTCTCAAATTAATTTTTCCAGTCCCAAATTGTACCCTGAAGTCCAGATTTGGATATCCAATTGCCTGCTCAGCATCTACAACCTGACATGGCCAAAACAGAACTCAATTCCATACTCCTCCAAATGTATTCCTCATCTAGGATGTCTCATCTCTACATCTCAGAATTCATCCAGTTCAAGTCAAAAATGTCGCAGTCATCCTTTACTCCTCTCTTTCCTCCTCATCATATCTAAGCTATAAGCAGATACTATCTTTGCCACCTTTAAAATAGAGCCTGAATCCAACATCTAACCACCTTCCCATCATCTACCACATGAGTCCAAGATTGTTGCTTGGAGCACTGTAATAACCTAACTGGTATCTCTGCTTTCCCCCTTAATCCTCTTTAGTCTAACCTTTACACTGCAGCTCCCTATTTCATACAGGTAAGTCAAATTATGTCATTCCTCCTCTCAATCTCTCTAATGGCTTCCCATGTACATATTCATGCCAGGCTATAAAGACCTTCATGAACTAGTTCCTGGTTTTCTTTCCTATTTCATTTCTTACCATTTTTCTCTCTTAATCACTATGTTGTAACCTCAGTGGACTCTCTGCTATTCCTTAAACATGCCAAGTAAGCTAACATTGTAGGAGCTTTTCACTTGCCTTTACCTCTGCCTTGAATCCTCTTTCCCCAAGTGTGCCCATGCTCAAATGCTTACTTCATTAGGGCCTCTGCATATGTCACCTCTTCCATCAGGCTTTCCCAAACATCTTATCTAAAATAGCAGCCTTCTGTACATTTTGTTCCAGTGGGTTTCATCACAGGATGCAAGGATGGTTCAACATACACAAATCAATAAATGTGATACATCATATTAACAGAATGAAGGACAAAAACCACATGATCATTTTTATAAATGCAGAATAAGTATCTGACAAAATTCAACATATTCTGTCTCTATTCCCTGCTTTTTTTCATAGCACTTAATATTATATATTTGCTTATATTGTCAGTCTTCTCCACTGGATTGTAAAGTCCATAAAAGCAGGTACTTTGTGTTGGTTACAGATGTATAACCAGCACATATAACAATACCTGGCATGTTGTAATGAGTTCAATAAATATTTATTGAATCAATAAATGAATAAATGGATGAATACGCTTTCTAGCCTGAATGCTATCCAATAATATAATTTAGGGTTTGGTTTTCTTTTTTAAAAAAAAACAAAAACAAAAACCATAAGAATGTGTCCTTAAAGACAAAAATAAATTCAGCTTGATTTCTCTCAAATTATATGAATTTTATTAAAAGGGAGAGAGTTATTCAGTAGCACTGAAGCAAAATTATATAGTAAATTTTCAGCAAGATATTCTGGCTATTATGAAAATTTTTATAAGCTTTAGAATTACTTCGGAAAGTAAAATTGCAGTTAATTTGTGCCTGAACACTTAAAAACTGTAGAGATATATATACACACACATATACACATAAACAAAATAGAGCAGTTTTCAAACTGGTATAAAGAGGAATGTCTTAATTACTCCACAATCCTTTTCCATTCCTTCCCTCATCAAATTGTTACCAGTGAAGGCCCAGGAAGTCACCAACTACTTAGGGCTCTTAGAGTCATACATGTTATATTCTGTTAACTTGGTGCTGGTGCTGTTGTTCACAGTAAGAAAAATGGCAATATCATCAGAGGTTTCACAAAGGCAGCAGAGTACTTTGCACATGTATGTCTGTGGATTAACTGCTGCTGTATATTACCTGCTCTCTTCCATTAATGCCACTCAAAGTACACAAAAATGTTAAAAATCCTACCACAAAATCAGATTGTGTCTCTTTATGGATAATTTGGTAGATGATCATGAAGACATCATTTTTCATGAGTAGACTAAAGAACCTAAATCCTGAAAAATAAGTTAGCCACACCAAGGCTCTCCTGAGCCATGGATAGAAGGCCAGTCTGAGTACTCCTTGAGGATGCCAGTCTGTTAGTAAAATGAACATGGAAACTCAAGTTGAGCCACTTGGCCTCTCTAGCAACAAGGAAGGAATTTAGTCCAGTATGCTCTGTTTATGTCAACATTCATTTAATATTGTTGTGGTATATGCTCTCTGATCAGGGGGATGGAAGAACGATGAATATTACTTCTTATGAAAAGCTGCAAGCCTTGTAACCCCTCTGAAAATAAATAGTCCAAATACCAGTTCCATTTCTTTCCCTGCAGGCAAAAAAAAAGGAAAATTACTTATTGAATATTATACTAGGCTTATTCTCTAATTCCTTTTCTTTCCCTAGGAAAAGTTTGCAGCATCCTGGATATACATAGCAAGAGTTAGGTCAGAGGGACCAGGTTCAGCTCAGTCACTAAGACACATTTAAACTAGAAAGTACCCCAAGTCCAAGGGCTAAACATCCCTTTTATTATACTATAAAAAAAAATTTAGCTGTTCAACTGAATAAAGTACTGTGAAGTGAAAATGTCATTATCCCCACACTCTAGCAATTTAACATCTAAAATAAATAACATAGGAGCACACATTATTATATTACTGCTTACATTAAATATGTAAATAGCAGAAGTTTCTACAATAATGAGACAATTAGGTATGGTTTGTTAAATCAATCTCATTACATTCACACTTTGTATACATTCTACTGTACTATAAAATGAGATAATGCATGGTATAACAGCAAGACTCAAACTATGAAGAGTTATATCATAGAGGAGACTAGAGAGGGTATGTGCCAATAGATTCACATTAAAGCCACTGGAATGAATTCAGAAGGCAAACACTTTGACTTTATGGAGACAACAGACTTAAGATTTGGAAAAAAGGAAAAGGTATAAATTCTCTTGGTGAAATTAAGCTGTATGAAATCCCTGAACATGAATGAAAGTAAATTTATTTACCCGAATAGAGCTCACGTTTAATGTCCTTTCTTCTGGGCTTTCCTTAAAAACAAAACAGAACAAAAAATAAAAAAAGGAAGTGTGGAGACATGGGGAAGGAAATATTTGGTTAGCAAAAATCACTAGAAAATTAAGATGGTTCTTCACTGAACAATAGCAAAGTTCTATTCCTACCATCACTCTTGGATTCCTTTCTAATATATACCCACTATAACCCTCCATACTTCTTTCTCCCTAGAAGCACAAATAGAAGAGAAATAAATTCATAGTAGATAAAGTAAGCACCATTTTGCTAATCTATGGCCTCATTTTTAAATTCTGTACTTAGCCAGTGTGGTAGGGATGAAGGGTGTCAGAAAAGGCTTTCTCTGAGGAATGTAATCCTTTCTGTTTTTTTAGAATGTTGTCTTTTGCTTTTATACATTTAGGGGGTACAAGTGCAGTTTAGTTACATGGATATATTGCATAGTGGTAAAGTCTAAGCTTTTTGTGTCATCACTTGAGTAGTTAAATTATACCCATTAGGTGATTTCTCATCCCTTAGTCTCCTCCCAACCTCCCACCTTCCCAAGTCTCCAATGCTGTAATCCTTGAATTGAGTCTTGAAGGATGAAGAGGAAGTCTGGTGAGGCAGGCTGTATACACAGCAGATTCTATGAAACTCTAACTCTTTATAAAATTTCTGGCCTACATAATCCCACTGTTCCCTAGCTTAAACTATCACCTTATCAGCTACTGTATTTCACCAAATCTAAGATCCATTGGTTCATTCATTCATTCATTCATAAATAAATAGATAAATCCCAACAATTTTTCAAATATCACCAAAAGAAAATGCTGCCTATCAAACTATATATAATACAATGCCTTTTTAACACTTAGAATTTTTATAATGATTGAAGGAGTTGTTTAGATGTGGGTAGATTTTTATTACATATCTTTGTTATAAACATATGATAGCAGATATGAACAAAATAAACTGGTGAAAGTATTTCTAAAACTTCACATTCAGAGTATAACACCTCTAAGTTGTGGGATATCTGTTTTCTCATACCATACTATTCTCTGTGTCAGAGTGTAGGTGATGTGGTATTTCTTTTTCCTTTTGTTTTTATATTTACACATAACTGTACATATTTATGGGGTACAATGAGATGTTTTGATACATGCATACATTGTGTAATGATCAAATAATGGTAATTAGCATTTCCATCACCTTAAACATTTATCATTTTTTGTTGTGAGAACATTCACAATCCTTTCTTCTAGCTATTTGAAATATACAATGCATTTCTTAAAAGAACTAAAAGCTAATGGTGCTGGGGTCCCAATTATGTAAAGCTAACTACTTTTGGCTCCTGCTTTAGAAAAGTCTATAACATGTACGGTTCACTGTTCTCCTCCTCCCTTTTGCCAAATCATTTGGTTTTTGAGAGTTAAAACAGTATTCCAATATTGTCTCCAGATTTTTTCCCCAAGCTGTTGACACCGATCCTGCGAAATCTGATTCTGGCAATCTGCCTGTGAACACTTGAACAACAAATGACAACTATATCATGATTGCTACCTGGCTGACAATATTCACAAGATGCATTCTGATCTCTGAGAAGTGAGAAAGTGAAAAAAATGTGTTTTTGGAATTGATGAAATATAGTACATGCTGATAAATTCCATATTACATTTATTTATCTAGCTTCAACCTCTCTCCTAAGCTCCAAGCCCCCATTCCAAACCATATACTTACATTTCTTCTTGGATGTCTAACCAGCATCTCAAACTTAAGTAGGTCAAACAGAACTTGATTCACAACTTGCCCTCCCCCAAAAACAAAATAACCTCTCCTGTTTTTTCATCAGTATTCCTCTTATTTATTTTTTTTTTTTACCAGTGAAAAGCTTGAGCATGTATTCCTCTTATTAATAAATGGAACCACCATCAACCCAGTTGCTCAAGTCAAAAAATCCAAAAGTCCTTTCCACATTCCTACTTCCAATCAAGCTGTCATCAAGGCCTATATGTTCTATCTCTGCAATATACCTGAAATCTGTCCATTTTTACCTATCTCTGCTACCATCACATATATACAAATCACTATCAATATCTTGTCCAGACTTCAGCAACAGCTTCCTAACTGGTGTTCCTGCTGCCCTTCAGGCCTCTTATAACTCCTTCCTCTACATAGAAGCCAAAATAATCTCTATTAAACATTAACTCAGACCATATTAAAACACTGCTTAAAATTCTCTCAATCGTCTCCCACTGCACTCTTAAACAGACCTGTAAGACAGATGGCTCCTACATCTCTCCAACGGTATTTCATTCCATTCTCCATATTGTTCTTTAAGTGCTAAGCCACACAGGCCTTACTGATTTTTCTTGAACCCTTTGAGCCATTGTACTGCTCTGGAATGCTCTTCTTCCACCTATTTCCAAACTGGCTCATTCTCATCTTTTAGAAGAAATCTCAGATCAAGTGTCATCTCCACAAAAAGGCCTTCCTTGAGCACTCATCCCTGACAACTCCCCACTCTCTCTCACCCCACTGTTTAATTCCTTTGTAGCATTTATCAGAATTTAAAATTATCATTTTATTTATTTTATTACTTATTTATCATTTGTCCTCATTAATATAAATTCCACTGGGCAGAGATGGTATCTGTCTTCTTCAGCACTGTATTCCCAGTGCCAGGAGCATAAGGAACACCAAGTAAATGTTTGTTGAACAAATAAACAAAGAAACAACTAGTTATTAATTCAAAGGCAATTTATGATAAGAAAACATAGAGCTTGGCAGCTCCATGCACCAGAAGTGATCTCCTGACTGGGGGCTGTCAGGGGTAGAGCATCAGGAAGAGTCTAAAGATTAGATTGTAAGAAAAGAAAATAGAAGCCATGTTTCGAAGACCTGCATTACAGGTACTTCATCAGTTTGTAAGACATGAGTCTGAAACAGCAAGCAGTTTGTTTCTTGAAGAGATCCCTGGATTGTGTGCAGTTATTTGGGCGAGTGGGTCAGGACCCTGCCATGAGACAAGTGGAAGGAAAAAACCCAGTCACAATATTTTCTCTAGCAACAAATGAGATGTAGCGATCAGGGGGCAGTGAAGTATACCAAATGGGTGATGTCAGTCAAAAGACAACATGGCACAGAATATTGGCATTCTGGTCAGAACTCAGGGATGTGGCATATCAGTAGGTGCAAAGGGGTCTTGAATTTATGTGGAAGGGAAAGTAGACTATGGTGAATACATAGATAAAAATACTGTGAGGCAACAAGCGACAACAATCATAGCTGATAACATTATATTTCTGAGTGACCAGGCAAAAAAGAAGGCATAGAATGGACAATTCTTCTTTGGCCATTGTTTGGTGCAGTCTTAATTCCAAATCATGTATAGTCTTTGTAGTCTCTAAAGATAAGAATTAAAATACTCTTTTATATATATATAAAAGAAAGCATAGAGCTTCAGAATTTCCTGAAATGTAGGTTCTACAAATGTTCAAAATATTTCAACTTGGCCAAGCATGTTGGCTCATGCCTGTAATACTACCACTCTGGGAGGCCAAGGCGGGAGGATCACATGAGGTCAGGAGTTCAAGACCAGCCTCAGCAAGAGCGAGATCTGTCTTTACTAAAAATAGAAAGAAATTAGTTGGACAACTAAAAATAGAAAAAAAATTAGCTGGGCATGGTGCCACACATCTGTAGTCCCAGCTACTCGGGAGGCTGAGGCACAAGGATCACTTGAGCCCAGGAGTTTGAGGTTGCTGTGAGCTAGCCTGACACCACGGCACCCAACAGAGCAAGACTCTGTCTCAAAAAATACACACACACACACACACACACAAACAACAAAATATTTCAACTCATTAAGTGAGCTGAGCTCTTTAATACTGAGAATTGATTGGCCAAATTCAATTTTAGTAAATTATTTCTAAAGAATCTGGCTAATTTGGAATATTTACAAAGTAATAATAAAAATTTTTTTTTAAATAAAAATTGCCAGATAAAAATAAAATTGCTGGTAAAATAAAATTGCCAGAATTAAATTACATACTACCATGATGTCAGAGGTTATTTGTACTACCTCAGGGGTAAGGTACTTAGTGATTAGTTAGTTGGTGATTAGGGCTGAAAAGGCACTCTTTTTCTTTTATTTTTTTAGATAGGGTTTCGTCTCCATTGCCTGGGCTAGAGTGCAGTGGCATCATGATAGCTCACTGCAAACCTCAAACTCCTAGCTCAAGCAATCCTCCTGCCTCAGCTTCCGGAATAGCTGTGACTATAGGCATGCATCACCATACCATGCTAATCTCAAACTCCTGGCCTCATGGGATCCTCCTGCCTCAGCCTCCCAAAGTGCTAGGATTACAGGCATGAGCCACCATGCTAGACTTACAAAAGGCACTCTTTTAAAAGAAAGATTAACATATTAAAACCTAGTATTTCCTGAACCACATGGAAACAAACGACATCAATTACAAAAATGACAGTTTCACATGTTGCCAAATACACTCTATGCTGCTAGAATTTAACCTTCCAGAACCAAGTTTGCTTACCTATATCCAATTTGATAATATTTACTATTTTAAAGATTAAATTTTATAACTAAGAACTAAGACACATTCTCTCTCTCTCCACACACACACACACACACACACACACACACACACACACACACAATCTCAATTCTACTCTACCTATGATTGATGACATACTTTTACATTTAAGAATTGCAGGCCGGGCGCGGTGGCTCACGCCTGTAATCCTAGCTCTCTGGGAGGCTGAGGCGGGCGGATTGCTCAAGGTCAGGAGTTCGAAACCAGCCTGAGCAAGAGTGAGACCCCGTCTCTACTATAAATAGAAAGAAATTAATTGGCCAACTAATATATATACAAAAAATTAGCCGGGCATGGTGGCGAATGCCTGTAGTCCCAGCTACTTGGGAGGCTGAGGCAGCAGGATTGCTTGAGCCAGGAGTTTGAGGTTGCTGTGAGCTAGGCTGACGCCATGGCACTCACTCTAGCCTGGGCAACAAAGC